TTAAAATCACTTAAATCTCATTGTCTTCACTACAAAAACAATATTCCCCCCCAGTTCCCTTCTTACTTCTAACAAACAATCTATAGGTTACATTTGCTTAATATAACACCACGACCAGAAATATGCAAGATCCAATTGCCAACTTGAGTCCCATTTTGGGAGAAAGGCAGGATATAAATCTAATAAATAAATAAATAAATAAATAAATAGGTTTAATTGGTAGCTTAATCAGCAATAGCTGGTTATCTAGTCTGGTTTTAATTAATGAGACTGAAGTTAAGGTCTCACAGGTATTCTTGGGATTGTGGCAGTACTGTTGAGTAACTGTAAAAGGAAAATTTAAAAGACAGTGTTAATAATTTTGTATCTTACCACGTGTGGTAACTTCTTTCTTGTAAATTTTACATGCTTTCTTGCAAATCAATAATAGTAATAATAGCAATAATGAATTTTCTTTGTAGCTCACCTTTCCTCTCAAAACTGAGACTCAAGGAGGCTTGCAAATTGCAGTGCTCATGCTGCCAACTTCTTTCTTTCAGTCAGTCTCAAAGGTGCTACAAGATCCCTTTGTACACCGATATTCTAGATTAATATCTTTGAATTCTGCAGTTTCTCTTTTTGTTGTTGTGTGCCTCCAAGTCCTTTTTGAGTTGTGGAGTCCTAAGGTGAAGCTTCAAGTCGTTTTTAAGTTATGGCGACCCTAAGGCAGGGTGACCAGATGTCCTCCTTTTCCAGGACATGCCCTACATTTCAATGTTCTGTCCAAGGAGGAATGTAAAATGTCAAAATGAGAAGCATGAATGTATATTTACACTAGTGTTTTTAGCTTTTATTTTGCAATGTCTTACCTTTTTTTTGAAGGTCCTACATTTGTGGATATGACATTCGGTCTCCCTGCTCTAAGGTGAATCTACTATGGATTTTACTTGACATGGCTGGTTCAGAGGAGCTTTGCCATTGACTTCCTCTGAGGCTGAGAGAGTGACACTTGGCCATGGTCACCCTGTGGATTTCATGGCTGAGCTGGGAATTTCTGGTCTCCAGAGTCATAGCACAACATTCAAACCACTACACCGTGCTGGCTCTCAAGGCTTACTTCTCATGGGGTTTTCTTGGCAGGTTTCTTCAGAGGGGGATTGCCATTGCCTTCCTCTGAGGCTGATAGATTGTGACTTGTCCATGGGCACTTTTTTTATGCTCAAGTGTGGTTTTAAACCCTGGTCTCCCAGAGTCGTAGTCCAATGCTCAAACCACTACACAAGGCTGGCCCTTTCATCTAAAAGGCATAAGGAACCTTGCCAGAAAAATGTGGCAACCCAAATCCTTGCCTTGCTTTTAGTCCTAATATTATCGCCACCACGACCACCACCATCGGCTGTTAGGAGTTTTTAACAGTTGCATGAGGCAAGTGTACATTAAAAAGTCTGTCTTTCCATGAGTTTTCTTGACATGGCCAGAGGTTGTGCTAGAAGAAAAAGAGTTGGCAACCCTGCCACTGTACTTTTCTGCAGAAGTAATAAAATGATGATGGTGGTGTCTTATAAGATCAGGGAAGGAAGCATCTATTCTGGAGTCTCTGAAAAGAGAATTTTAGGGCCTTTGCAGACTGCTAGAAATAGTGCAAATTGAGTCCACTTTAAGGGTTAGGGTTAGGGAATCATGGGAACTGTGTTTTATTGTGGTACCAGAGCTCTCTGACAGAGAAGGCTTAATGTCTCAGGAAAAAAAAACACCAATTCCCATGATTCCCTAGCACTAACCCTAACCCTAAAAGTGGACTCAATTTGCACTATTTCTGGCAGTCTGCAAAGGCCCTTAGTTGTTTAAAGCCCAACAGAATGAAAGAGAGTTTTGGTATTCCCATTGTTTCCCCCTCTCTTCCTTGCATCTTAAAAAGTCTTCAGTACTCTCGTCTGCTAAAAATCTTGCTCTTTAGTCCTAAGGCCAGGTTCTCTGAACACAGTGGTAAAGTTCCTGTGCTTGCTTAGTTGTACTGTACATTTTAGTTATGTAATTCTGGAGCTAAGTCCTGTTAATTCAGGAAAAATGCTGGTGCTAAATCCAAGCACAGAGTTCCCTCTGAGGTTTTGGTTTGGAAGTGAGGGAATATCATGCCATACCAAGCTGTGCCACTTTGTCAGAGTTGCCTGCTTGCATTACCTGCCCACTGAACAGAGAAAGTTCTCTATATTTAGCTCTCTGTTGTTTATTTTAAGATGCCACTGAATCTAGTTTGGAACAAGTTAGACATTAGAGACAGGCCAGGCCCCATAGTGCTAGGATTAATATCACATGTGATTTCAAACTGTTTACATTTTGTGTGTGAGATTATTATCTGTATAGCATTCTTTGCTGTAATGTGCTGTTTCACAGTACTAATCTAACAATGATGTTAAATAAGACTTATTCCAAATTATGCCACACCTAAAGAGCCCATTATTAGCCTTAAAGAGGACAAACAGTAATGCCTAAATTAAACTCTTCTTCGTAGCAGCCCCTTTGCTCCTGGTATCTGATCATACAAAATGGCTTAATTGCCCAAGGATGATTAAAACAAATTAGGATTACAACGTCAGTTGCTTGTCTTGATCTTGGCCTTGTTTATTTGATTAGTAATAATTGACTGAGAGACATTGGAAGCTAGTTCAGCTGTATGTGGTATCCTTACTTTTGTGCTAGATTAAAAAGTGGGAACCTCTTCTAGTTCTGTGACATTTACTTTGGGATATTACCAGAGATGAAGTTGGTTTACATGTTTTTCTGAAACACTTGGAATGTCTTAATATTTAAGCTGAATGATGAAATGTTTTGGTGATACAATCCCAAACCTTTCAGTTCCTGCTCGTTTCCCATGATAGAATAGCGACTGCTTTGCAAGAAATAAAGTGCATTTACTCATTTACAACTTGCTTCTTACTTCTAGCAAACAATCTGTAGGTTACATTTGCTTAGTAATACACCATGACCAGAACTCAAGATTTAATTGCCAACTTGAACCCCATTTTGGGAGAAAAGCAAGATATACATGCAATAAATATATAAATAGGCTTAACTGGTAGGTTAGTCAACATAAGCAGGTTATCTAGTCGGGTCCAATTTTAATTAATGAAGCTGAGAGTTAAGGTCTCACAGGCGTTCTTGGGGTTGTGTCAGTACCTTTGAGTAACTGTAAAAGGAAAATTTAAAAGATAGTGTTTTTGCATCTTACCTCATGTGGTAACCTCTCTCTTACCCGTACATGCCTATGCAGAAATTAGCTCCAGTGAGTTCAATGGGATTTATTCTCTGATAAGCAAGTAAAGAATTGTAACTTTAAATTAGACTATGAATATTCAATGACGGATCCATAGTCCTTGTCCATGCCAATTTTATGAACAATATGAGAAGGACTTTGTTACTTACTCTGGCAAGCATTGTGAGGATGCATATTATTTCTGATGTCCATCAGAGTCCATCTTAGTTCATCATCACCAAATTCTGTCTCCACAGATTCCACCATCTACATTCCACCAATGTTGTGACATTGCTGCTGTATTCTAATTGTTGTTGTAATTTTAATCTGTTATTTTAATATGTAATTGATTTAATGGCTTTTTAAGCGGGGGGAGAGTATATTGTTTTTGTATTATTTTTAATGTTGTTAATCGCCCTGATTGGATTACCAAAGGGTGATATATAAATTATTATTATTGTTGTTGTTGTTGTTGTTGTTGTCACAGAACTCTTATATTAAGGATGAATCACATTTTTACACTTCATGGCTGAAAACTGTGTATTTTGAGGGTATGCACCTTTCACTGAACAATTCTAGCAAGAAAAGACAGTGTATAATGGAATAATGAGTACAAGGAAAAGTTATCAGTTGAGGAACACATTGACTAATCATGTGAAGAAACCGCAAAAACAATGGTATCTCAAAATAAAATACTTTAATAATATCTCCTCTGGTAGTTTTGAAATCAAGATGTGGCATACATTTGCTCATATTAAAAAGTGCATATGATAATTTGCTTTTTCAATTAAATCAGAACAGTCATAAAGCATACTGAGAAGCTTAAGACATGCTAGAAAGATCAAATATTTAACTCTCTTCCACCTTTGAAAATATCTAAGGGACAAGATATCCCAACACCGGCATTTTCTAAACCCTCATGACACAATTATAATGCTTCTGTCTCAGTCAAGATTATGCCAAACCAAAATATAAAAGGGGTCAGATCTTTTGAACATAGCCAATAAAATATTTCCTTGACACGTAAAAAACAGAAACACATTAAATTATAATTTCAGCTATTTGTAAAAAAATACAACATTCCAACCAAATTGCCCATTATATTTATTCCTGAAGGCATTATTAGATGCACTGATTTTGCTAGATATGACATCAGTCTGTGCTAAGTATGACTACAAATACCAGTTTCCCTTTCATTCTGATGAACTCAAGAAGCTGGAAGAATTGCTCTCTTAAAAAAATAAAAAAAACACAGACATTTCTGAAAAGCCCTGGTTTTCCACACAAAACAGTTTGATCCAATTTCACAAAATAAAGGGTTACAAATGAACAGTAAACAATAGACCTTTGTTCATTTCGCCACATTTCTTTTCAAGTTACTAACACTCATGAAAGTCATCGAGAGGAGAAGGGCACCTGCCAGCAGGAACCTTTGACAATCTGTAGGGTTAAAATAGAAATTAATTGTCAGAGCATTTATTTTCCAGTTGTTTTTTTGCAGAAATTCCTGCTGTTTTCATTACAGTTAGTTATTCTGGGAAAGTGCATAGGGCCACATTCATATTACTCACTAAATGTGTATTCCACTGTCCTCAAGAGAATGTATGTAGCTATCCCATAGGTACACTATTGTAATTTGCAACTAAAAGTTCCTACTTATGGCGATCCCATGGAGTTTTCTTGGTAAATTTCTACAAGGTGGGTTTGCCATTATCATCTCCTAAGGCTGAAAGAGCGTGACTTGACCAAGGCTACCCAGTAGGTTTCATGGCCGAGCTGGGAATCAAACTCTGGTCTCCAGAGCTGTAGTCTAGTACTCAAACCACCACACTACACTGGCTCTTGATTTTATTTCCCATTATACTGAATAGTTCTAATACAGTCAGGTCATAAAAAGTGAAAGCATTTGCTTTACAAAACTACCGTACTGCCGCCACCGCCGCTGCTGTCCGCCGCCCACCATGATGATATTGATTATTGTTGTTATTACTTGTTCTTGGGCTTTTCTTGGCAAAATCTCCACAGGGGGTTTGCCATGGCTTTTCTGGGGCTGAGAGAGTGTGCATGCATATTTTTTATTTTTATTTTTATTTTATTTTTGGTGCTTCGCCCCCCCCAATTGTCTGAGGGACAGCAACCCGGCCCCTGGCTCAAAGAGGTTGCCTACCCCTGCCTTTAGGTGATCAATTTTTAGGTCACAGGTGGGCCCACAGGGCACAATTTGTTTTTAAAACTGGAAGTGAACAGGAAGTGATCTTTGGCCCCAAGGTAGGCCAAAAATATGGTGAAATTTTCCTCCCACACCATCTATTACACTTAGAGGAGCATTTAGAGGCAAAAAAAAATATTTTTCTTTGTAGGAGCATTGGGGTGTAGCCCTTCAAGGTCTCCAGGGCAGGGACAATGTGTCCCATAGCCCCTGACAGTTTCCCACCCTGCTTTCAGTCAATAAAACTAAGCCTTGTATTTTTCATTTTTCAACAATAGCTGATCAAACAAATATACCTAGTGAGTGTTCAGTAGGCAGGCTGATCAACCTAGTTGAAGGCAGCATCTCAGTGCTATTTAAGAATGTTAAAAATTATTTGGATGAGGGTATAAGAGAAAATGGGGAGGAATTGATGGCCCAAAACAGACAGGCCAAAAGCGCCTCCTTTGGGTGGATCTGAGGGTGTTCCATTCAGATGATGCATGGCCCAAATCGGGACGAAGCAGTGCTGCTGCCACCTAAGGTGGCCCAAACCCAGCAGCAAAAAGAGAGCAAAAAAAAAAAGCACTCCTTGCCAGTAGTTTGTTGTGGACCATGGCGGCGGCCAGCACAGCATAATGGTCACCACAGTCCCACACCGCTCAGAGTGTGCTTGTGGTTGGAGTGGCCGGAGGCTACTCTGAGCCCCCCCATCTGCTTGAGGCCGATAACATTACAAACACAGGATCAAGATTCAAACTATGAAGGTAAAATTCAACAGAGATCCATGTAAAGCTCTACATTTTCATGCAAAAAATCAGAACCCCCAAGATAAGGCAGTGAAACCTGGATTGACAAGAGCACACATCAAAAAGATCTAGGTAGCTTAGTGTAGCAAAAGATGAAAATAAATGAAGATCCATCTAATCCAGCATTCTGGTCATACAGTAATCAAAGATGTCTATGGGAGCAATTTTATTTATTTCAATATTTTTGTATTAGCCCACTTTAGTTATTCCAAAGGCATGTAGGCTCCCCAAATGAGGAGGGAGACTGGGGTCAAACATACTAAGTTTCCCCGTTTGTCACTGTTCTTGTCCCCTCCATGGGGAGAGTGACTGTCTTCAGAAAGGAGACCATTGTCTTTCTGAAGGCTCTCCACATGAAGCAGCATCCTGAAAAATCAGGTTGGAAAGTGTGGAAAGCCAGATGGATGAATGCCTGTAGGCCCATCTCTGACCTAAACAAATATTTAATCTGAATCACTAGGGATCGTCTTCTGTCCTTATAATCAATCTAAATAAAGCAAGAATGAAAGTAAAATACTCTTCTCCCTGTTCCCCCCCCCCCCCCCCCCAACACACGTAGATCCAATAATACGTTGGTTTCATGTTTCTGATTGGGGATAAAGGTTGGTCTTGGGTCTGGGCAGCTGACATAAAAGAGAACAACCAACATTTATTTGTTGATCAGTAATACATGTTTGAAGCATTAGGAATTCTTTACTCATGAACCTCACAATTTAGGTAGAAACAAAATGCACTTTCATGGGGGCATAATACTTAAGTGCAGATGCATATACAAGCAACCAGGATGATTAGCAGCACCATAACAGCTATCAAGGAAATCACCACAATTTGACCTTGATCTCCTCTCAGATAAAACAAGTCCAGTCTCTCACATCTTGCACCAATGTAACCTTTCTCACAGCTGTAAAGAAAATAGAAGTTAAAAGAATGACAGTGTATACAGCTCCCTTCCTCATATAGCTTAAATTTCTTTCTGCTAGGTGTCCCCTATAGCAAGCAAACACTTTGTTAGAGGTAGATCAGAAAGTGTTGACTGCTGAATACATTACTGTTGGCCCCTCATTTTGAAAGAAGAGTACCGGTAAATAAATATATTGTTTAGTCCCTGATTTCCTAGGAGTGCCATTACTGCATCAGATTATGCTTGAGGAAGTGAGGCATACATGGGATCTTTTCCTTGGCAATACCATGACTACAGAATTCACTGCTTAGTTCACTATGGCAATTGTTAAACCACTGTATTTTTTAACTTTTAAAACACTTTTATTGTAAATGGTCTTAAGAATTCAAGTGAACGGAAACATGATTGGGGGGGGGGGAAGTTAACAATTTCATGAACCTTTTCTGACTACCAAATAAGAAATCCTGTATTGACTCCTGTTGTTTTAGTATTTTTGATTGCTTTACTCAAATGTTGATATTTTATACACGTTTTTTTGGCAGGGGGCGGAGTTAACACTATTACTCATCACTGTTAAACAGAGATTTTAATTATAACCCTAGAAGCTTTGGTGACCATTATTTATTATAATGATAATGGCAAATTGCATCCTTTAAAACCCATGACAATTTTTAGAATTATATGCCTTCTTCTTAACTGAAACTGAAATGTTGTGACCATGTTATATTATGGTTTTTCCCTACCATTTGAATTTTTTCTTTTTAAAGTCTCCACTATTAATGTATTCCCCAAGGTTTTATTATTTATTGTGTTTTACACTTTTATTGTGTTTGTTCATTTAATGATAAGTTTTTTAAAATAAATCAATTTTAAGCATGACTAAATCTGATCCAACCTTGTGTATTCTTATTTTTAAAAAAACAACTGTGGGATAAGCTAGATTCTAAATACAAAATAAATATATGTTCAGTACTTTCCACTATGGTGCACTAATAACTCTAATAGCTTAGATTTAACTGTATTGTCTTACTGGGAATCAGAAGGTCTTAATAAATACATGGATTTTTGGTTTTACTTGCATAATATCTTCCAACAGGTGTTTTTATATGAATGGTTTCCTTGTGTTATTTTTTATCTCATAATCAGTAGTTTGCAAACAAATGCCACACCATTATCTTGTGCCTGCATGTTGCAGGAAAATTCATAAGACAGGTTCTGTGAAGGTAATTTATCATTACACTCGTCTCTCCCCATTTGCAGACATAGAGTCCGCAGTCTTGGTCCTTTGTGGACGGCAAACAGGCAGAGACAAAATGGCGCACGCGCCCCCACTGAAATCAATGGGGCTTGGATATTTGCTATTTTCCCAATTCGTAGGGGCTGGTGTCCAGAACAGATCCCTCGCAAATCGGGAGGGACAACTGTACTTATTTTCTTACTGATAATTGAAATTATTTAAATTGTAATTTTTATTTTAAAACAATAGAAATTGTGCCTTTCTGTCCACCAATGACCCTCAAGGCAATTAAAAACAATATAAACAGTAACAAAGCAACAACAAAAAAAAGAATACTACCATAGTAATGAGGGATTAAGAAAAAGAAAATAAGTATTAAAAAGTAGTCTCCCCACAACTTGGTGCCCGCAAGATGTGGCAGGGGGGATTTGGGAGTTATAGCCCAATACATCAGAAGGACATGAAACTGCAGGAGGCTCTCCAAGGGATGCCTCAACAGTTGTTAAAATCAGGGTGGTCTCAATCACCAGTAAACCTAAAACTAAGATACGATATGGCATCTAAAACTATGGTCAAATTCAACATTTACATTTCCAAATGGAGTTTAAGTACTGGAGCATAGACAGAGCCAGCTCTAGATCTTACTCCAGATACAGCCCTGGGGGACAAACCTATAAACATATTTAGAGTCTCTATTGCAAATCTAATACATCTATTTTCCCTCTGGAAAGAAGTAATTTGGAAAATATCCTTCTCTAGATATTGTTATATCCAACTGCTCCACTCTTAGTGCAACTAGTGCTCCTTCTCTGATGAAACTTCTCATCACTCATCACCATTTAAGACTATTTGGAGGTGAAATAGAGTCAAAGTTTCCACAAGCATCAGAAGCAGGTCTGCATCATGTCTTTCAAAATATTTTTCATACCCTGGAATAAGCCCCAGAACTCGACTTAAGCAAAACAGGCTCTGCTAACAAATATGCCATTAGCCAAATATTTCCAAAGAGTTCATCATGCCAGGGGTTAGCTGCTGGTAAGTGCAATATTTTGAATGCTTTGAAATTTCCACATACATGCATGCTGGTGTCTGTATTACTGCAACATAACAACATGCTCCCTTGACACAATAGTGCTTATACTCCTCAGGACATTTGAAAAAATGTCCTTTCCACCAATCAGTGGTGCCATCTAGATTTAAAAAAAAACAAAAAACAAAAATGTGTTATGTTTCAATCATAATGGTGACTATGCACTTAGGTAACATCTTTTGAATCTACACTGCTTTGCTCATTTTTAATCCCTTTTTACCTGTTTCCTATAAACCACTGCATCTAGAAGATAGTAATATATATGATCTTGAGCACTCAGGGCCGATGCAGACTAGCACTATAGGCCGGCCTGGGGGGTGGAGTTGAGGCAGGGCAACTGCACGCTGGCCGCCCCGATTCCGTCCCAATGCCACGCGGCGTCAGGGTGTCCTCTTGGTGCAGCATGCATACACGCTGCACCAAAAGGGCACAAAAGAGCCACCACGGCAGGTCAAAGGGCGGCGTTTTTTGCCACCCCCAAAAGGAGCTGCATTTTGCCACTCTTTGGGGGGTGGCATAAAGGAGGATCAGGGCCGCAGCATGTGGTTGCTGCGGCCCCGATCCGCCACTCCCAGGGGTAGCCCAGAGCCATCCATTTTTGGCCATTTGCATCGG